ATCTTTTAAAAGAGCTTTATACAGTAAACATACATTTATAGATAATATTAATTTATTATTATTCATTTTTAATTGTTCTTTTTTGGTGGTGTGTAGTTACCTATCAAAAAGGTAATTACTACATAATTAAATACATGATAGTACATTTCTTGTAACTATAAATTTGCTTATACAGGATTGTCCGAATTGTATTCAGGAAACCGACAGCATATTCAGCAGATAAAAATAAGTAAAAAAGTTCCTATAAATGTATGGCCTAGAATGCTTGGTTTCAGAGACATAGGGTGTAGAAGTTTCATTTTTATTTCGTTTTTTTTAATAATATCTGATATAATGTTGATATTTGGATGAAAATGAGTGCCTGGGTGTTTTTGACTTGTGAAATCTTATTTCGGTGTGAATATGGCTCCTACTTGTAGGAGCCGCCACCTATACAGGGTGGTGTCCGAACTGTATTACGAAAACTTAGGCAGTATATTCTGTAAAATGCTTAGTTTCAAAGATACAGGGTGTAGAAGTTTCATTTTTATTGCGATTTTTTCCAAATAATTTCTAATGTAACGTCAATATTTGGATAAAAATTGGTGTCTAGAAGTTTTTTGGACATGAAAAATTTTATTTTGATATCAATATGATTCCTACTAGTAGAGGGCGCCACCTAGATGTGTTTTAACTGTTTTGAAGCGTAATAACATTTTGTCCGTACCTGTATAAAACTACATAGGGAAAAATATCTGTGACTTTTCGCGTAAAAAATATCTCTTTCTAAAAATCGCTACGAACAACCGTTCTCAAGATATTTAGAATGGAAATAGTCAATACATGTCATTATTGACGAAAAATATACACGTTGAGTAGATAGTTATTTCACTAAACTAAAATAAATTTGGATTTTTTTTTTTAAATTAATCAGTTTCTGTTGAACTTTTCGCACAAAAACATTTCAAATTTATGATTTCAGTCTAATAACTATTTAGTCAACATATACAGGGTTGTTCACCACATACGACACGGAGTATTGTAGCTAAACGATGAGATTTTTACAAATTGTAAGTTTTGGGTTCGATGAAGGACTATTAGAGGTACAATTTAAAAATAATTTTACAAGATACAGAGTGTCCCAAATAAGTAAAAAATATCAAACTTGTATTTTTTTAAATGGAACACCCTGTATATTATCACATTTTTAGTTTCTACGATTAAAATAAAGGTAAATTTGATTAAGGTTTATTATACTTAAACCTTACCGTTTTTAAAATATTTTCAAATTTGTGAAATTGCAGTAAAAATTTTAAGGCTTCATTTCTCCAAGGGTATCAAAGTTTTTAATACTAAATATTTACTGAAGTTTATTTACTGATCAGTTATTGTGTTGCAATAATAAAAATAATACTACCTTATACAGAGTATCTAAAATTTTATTTAAATAATTATTAGCTTCAAACGGCAATAACTTGTTTAATTTAAATGGAACACCCTGTATATTTTACGAGAATCAGATGCACAATTTAATTGTGTATCAAATTATATTATACCATTTTTTACCTATCTCTTTAAGTTTCCGTAGAAAATGCATTTTCCTGTAATTTAGAACTTATTTATCAATATACCCATGGACTATTGACATTTTAGATTATTTTTAAAGATGTACCAAATTTTTAAAGAGTACAGATACTAATATTGTCGATATAATTCGTTTATTTCATTAAAAAATAAAAAAAAACTGTTTAAATATTTGTTAAAGAGGATCAATTAATATGATTCCAGTATTCAAACTACATTAACTGACTGTTGGCGTTGATTAATAATAATTGCTCCAAATACTAAAAAACTGAATTTTGTATGGGCATTAGACAGTATACATTCGACAGATAAAAAGTAACACCTTAAAAATGATATTTCATTTTTTAATAAATGCTTATTTATAACAACAGAGACTAATTTGATAACCTATTATATTGATTTCTGACTCAAATCCACATTTATTTAAAATAATTTATTAACGAACACAATTAAGTTTGTAATTAAAATGGTGTTATATTTAATTAATGGTATACTCTTTTATAAAGATTTAAATAGTTTTCTTTTTGCATACAAATGGGCTAGTAATATTATCGTTTTGCTAAAAACGATAATATTACTAGTCTAGTTTGTACATTTTGTACATTTGTTGCTTTAAAAACAATCTAAAATATCAATATTCCATGGATATATTGATAAATGAGGTCTATATTATAAGAAAATGCATTTTCTACGAAAACTTGAAGGGATAGGTAAAAAATGCTATAATACAATTTGATAGACAATTTAATTGTGCATCTGATTCTCCTAAAATATACAGAGCATTCCATTTAAATTAAAGAAGTTATTGCCGTTTGAAGCTAATAATTATTTAAAATAAATTTTTAGACACTCTGTATAAGGTAGTATTATTTTTATTATTGCAACACAATAACTGATCAATAAATAAACTTCATTAAATATTTAGTATTAAAAACATTGATACCCTTGGAGAAATGAAGCTTTAAAAATTTTACTGCAATTTCACAAAATTGAAAATATTTCAAAAACGGTAAGGTTTAAGTATAATAAACCTTAATCAAATTTACCTTTATTTTAATCGTAGAAACTAAAAATGTAATAATATACAGGGTGTTCCATTTAAAAAAATACAACTTTGTTTTTTATTTTTTATTTATTTGGGACACTCTGTATCTTGTAAAAATATTTTTAAATTGTAGCTCTAATAGTCCTTTAACGAACCCCAAACTTACAATTTGTAAAAATCTCATCGTTTAGCTACAATACTCAGTGTCGTATGTGGTGAACAACCCTGTATAATTTATGTCAATGATAACAGGTATTGATAAATTCGATTTCAAATATCTCGGAAAACGTTACTCATAGCGATTTTTACCAAGACCTCTTTTTTACGTAAAAAACGTCGTAAATGTATATTTTTTTTCTCAGTAGTTTTATACAGCTAGGGACGAAAAGTTATTACTCTTCAAAAAAGTTAAAAAATATGTAGGTGGCGCCCTCTACTAGTAAGAGGCATATTGACATCAAAATAAAATTTCTCATGTCAAATAACTCCCAGACACCAATTTTTGTCTAAGTATATTGACGTTACTTCAGAAATTATTTGGAAAAAATCGAAATAAAAATGAAACTTCTACACCCTGTATCTCTGAAACTAAGCATTTTAGGATATACATTTATACGAACCTTTTTACTTAGTGTTATCTGCAGAATATGCTGCCGAAGTTTCCGGAATACAGTTCGGATCACCCTGTATTGACTTATTATTGGCCCTTTTGACTCATGGCAATTAAATTGGCAGTATACCTACATAAACAAGAAATTTGGAGACTTTTTGATATGAGCTTGTACCATATTTATTTAGCTAAATGCCTTTAATCGATTAAAATTTAAAATTAATGTAATTTGTAATTATTTAGCTGTTTATTATTTATTACATATTACTAGTAATAATTTAGCTAAATTATAGCCTATAATATAATTACAGTTAAATTTGTTTGTACTGAAAAGCCCTATCGAAAATCTCATTTTTGATCGGGTAAACCCTAAATATGTCAGAAGGCCAGTAAGAATAGTTGTTTATAACTAATGAACGGCTTGATCGATTTTAATGATCTATGATTTGTTGGATTCGTGTCCACTCCGAATAGCAGAATTACTATTAAATTAACGAACAAATCAGAGAAAAAGGTTATTGAAAAAATAAGTTTTTAATAAATTAGGTTTGAAACTCCGCCTTCTTTCGCAATGAACAGTCAAATTAGTGACTACTAGATATTATAGACTAGAAATTCAAAGGAAAATAGTAAGAAAATACCATATTCAAATATAGAAATATTTTGAAATACAGGGTGGAGCCTCTCATACGCCGGTGCCGTGGAGGCTCTACGGATAACGACAGTTTGTATTGAAATGAAATTTTGTGAACTTATGTAGGTTAATTCAGAGCACTGACACAAAATATAGAGAGCTCTACAGGGTGTCCCTAAAAAAAGTTACATATCAAAGTTGTATTTTTTGTAACGGAACACCCCATATATTAATTGATTTTCGGATTCTGGAAGACAAATATAGGTGAGTTTTATAAACGAAGTATATGACTAAAATATAAGGTTAATTTTTGTTAAATTAACAAAAGGTATATCACACAGCCACCCTAGATTTTTTGAAATAATAAAGATCTACAGACGCAAAATCATAAAAATTAAAATATCTAGGAAAATCTTTATCTGAGGGGTAGACACCCAAATAATATTTTGAAGATATATAAATTCCCCATTGAACACCGGAAAATATACTGGGTGTTCCATTTAAAATAAAGGAGTAACTTGCTTTTAAAAGTGCCTAATGTTCCATATTAATTTTGTCTCATCCTGTATAACTTTTCGGGTCAAATTTCAAATTGGTTTAACATACAATGGCTACTGTAATTAAATATGAGGCTATACAAGCTTAACTAAAATTTAGGTAGCTGTTATCGAAATTTAAAATTTACTCTTCATTTTCACAAAATGTGAAATATGTCAAACTCCTTAGATCTTAGGTATAAACTTCTTTAATAAAACTCACCTTTATTTTTTTCCGAGAATCCGAAAATCAATTAATATATAGGGTGGTCCATTATAAAAAAACAAACTTTGATGTGTAACTTTTTGGGGAACACTCTCTATAATTCTATATATTTTTATAAAATGCTTTCAGTTAACCTACGTATGGTGACAAAATTTCATTTCGATATAAACTACTGTTCTCCTTGGAGCTTCCGCGGCGTATGGGGGGCGCCACCCTGTTATACCAGAAAATACTTGAATAGAAATATTAACAGAAATCTATAACAGAAATATAGAGAACAAATAACAACAAATCTCAAATTGACTGGTCTCAATCAGTCATCCACAACACGATATTGACAAAAAAAACTAAGTTAGGCGGGTCAGCTAGTTAGTAATAAAATATACCTGGCTATTTTAGTTAGTATTCTTTTTGCCTCCTCGCGTCGACCTCTAGCTAACAACCATCTTGGACTCTCTGGCAGCAAGCACCAAGTTAAAAATAAAGTTGCAAAGGGTGCTGTTGTAGCCAAAGCTAGCCATCTACGAAAAAATCTTATTAAAGTTAAAAATTCGTATATTTACTATTTATTAAAAACCTAACTTACCGCCAGTCCCTGATCACCCAAACCACAATAGCCAGTAGAACCAATGACACTGAATATGCTATATTAATCAGAATTGTAACTGTGGTTCTGTCTTTAGGTCCTACCAACTCGATAGCTAAAATAAACTATGACATTTTTGACAGTTCTAACAAATATAATAATTAATTAATTAGAATTTTAACTGTGGCTTATGGAGTGGAGAGGTAAGGAGAAATAACTCTTACGGGACTTTTATTGAAAAAGTGGTCACAAAATGGGAAGAATAAGGGTTCGCCAAATAACTACAGTGGCGCTAAAAACGCATGATTCTAAAAAATGAAAAGTAACCATAGATAAGAGAATAAAAATAAATATAACCAAACAATTGCAGGTAATTTATTCTAATAACGAAAAAGAAACTTTGGATCAAAAAATATTTTCTTCTGATGAGGTTTATGAATATTAAAGTCTGTTGAAGTTTGGCCATTATGTGTTGGTATACAATTTATTTATGATGTTACAGTAGTTAAACCATCCGAGTACAAAACATGTTTAAAATCCACTATTCTTAATGAATGGCAACTACCAACTTGAGAGGAAGCTAAGAGAAAGGTTCTATTGGGTGGACTACAAGAAAAAGGGACATATACATGAGGATCTGGAAGGGCTATAACATTACGTCTCAAGCCATGGAACAATAGGAAACGAAATTCAAAGGAAAATATTACAATACGTGGGATGCAAATTATAGTGCAAAGAATTGAGAAAAAGAATTATTAAAAGTAGTTATAGTTACGATAGTTAAACCATCTGACTACCACATATATTTAAAATCCACTATTCTGAATGAATAGCAACTACCAAATTGGGAGGAAGCTGCGAGAACGATTCTATTGGGTGAACTACAAGGAAGACATGAGCATCTGGAAGGGCTATAAAATTATATTATTATTTCACTTCCCAAGCCATGTTGGAATAGCTGGGAGTGAAAAAGAAGATAATACTGCACACGATTCTTGTCTAGAAGTAGTTGATATTAAGGTAGTTAAGCCATCCGACTATCGAACATTTAAAATCCACTATTCTGAATGAATGGCAACTACGATGGCAAAACGTAAATAAATACTTGTACAGTATAAAATTATATTATATTGGCTTAATTTTTATACTAAATAAAATGTGTTACGTTATTTTTGACCTGCATTATATTTATTTAAATCCCATATCATCAATTAAACTTGTAATAAAGTTTTCCTAATTATAATTAACATTAATTTTAAACTAAAGCTTTTTCATCTTGAATGAGATTTACAAAATAACTTATGAGAAACAATAAAAAGAGGCTCTGATATCTGAATAATCGATAATAAAACCGCATATTGACTTACTTTTATACTAAATAAATGTAGGTATGAAGTTATTTTAAAGCTGCATTATATTTATTTTAAACCCATCACCAATTATTACTTTAAATAAAATTTGTCCTAATTATAATTACCATTAATTTTAAGCTAAAACGATAAGAATATTTTTTCGTCGTCTTGAATGACAATTGCGAAATAACTTATGAGAAACAATAAAGAAAGGGCCTAGTCTATTGCTGCTGAATAAAAATCTGTAATTTATTTCATGCAACATGAAAATTAAATTGTATTTTTTTTAACCCGCGGCTTCGCGTTTGCTTCACGTCAAATATTTAGAATCATCTGTTCTAAAATGTTCGGCGCATGTCTTAAATTTTAGAATCTTGCTACAGCAGCGCCATCCTAATTCTTCCCTTTTTTTGACCATTTTTTAATGCACGGAGTTATTTCTCCTTACCTCTACACTCCATACTGTGGCTCTATCTTTGGGGCCTACCAACCCGAGAGTTAACATAAACTATGATATATAAGCGATATCAAATAAACTTTAAGTTACGTCATCGAGGGCGTGATTATTAAATTCAGTGTTGCCAACTATGGACATATTCGGCGTTGGCTGAATAACTGGAATTTAAATTTCCCGCTGGCGATTCAGGTGGTAGCTCTGCTGTAAAAAATATCAAGTTGACAAATTCATTTATTTATTTCCTGATATTTTGATTTGTTTTGACACTTTAGTTTAGTATATTAATAGTTTTTGGTTTCAGTGAATTGTATTGTGATACTTTAAACTTACAACTTTTTACTAGCAGACGTTGCAGTCGAAAATTGTTCTTCTTAGAACCCCTTGTAGTGCGAGGTGTTCGATGCCGAAGCAGCTTAACAGCCGTTGTTAAAAACTTATAGCAACTTTATTACAATATTTTGAACGGGAAAGCAGTAATCATGGCCCTTTATGTCCCTTGCGTACTGTTAAAGAGGTGAGTTTTGTTTATGTAAATAATAATTATTGTTTATATATTTATAATTAATTCATTTTTGTTTTTTAAAATATTTTGATTATGTAATAGAAAATATGTAAAAGTCAAGCTTAATCACGTGACTAAAAGTTTATTTGATATGATCTATACTTGACAATTCTAAGAAAATATCTAAAGAACAAATATTAGGTTATAAAAATGTTTCACTTCAATTTTACTCAAAGATTTTTATTTATTTTTTAACATCTATTGAGATACATAGCCTGTTCAGTACCAGCCAGCCAGACTTGTGTCAAGATGATGTGTGCATGTAAACCCTCAATTGTAATGTCTCTTCTTCAGATAGAAACTAAGTTTAAATTTTATAATTCTTTCATTAATTCTATTTATTCCAAAATCGATTTTTGTAGCTTTGTTATAAGTTGTAAAAATTCCATTGAAATAGTAGTAAATTTGTATGACACACTATTAAGATATTATTTTTGAAAAGCGTTAAAAAATAATTTATATTATTATCCCATAATACGTTTTCTACAAATTCTTTTTTTTTGTGTAAACATTGTAGTTATATTTAAATATTACAGGTATGGCTATCCATAGTTTATCCTATTCCTACCTAAAACATATGGTGTGCCTAATATGGCCGGCACGGTAAATCCAACCCCTATTCGAAAAACAAGCCATATCACGAAATTGTCGGCTAGAATGGTACCAACACCGAAAACACACTGTATAAGTAAATATATATAATAAGCGGGCTTCCTTCCAAAGCCGTCTTGGATGTAGCCAAAAATACAATTGCCTATTAAGCCACTTAAACCGAAGAGAACCAAGGCTAGTGTGGGAGCAAAGTTCTTGGAACAGACGAGGTTCCACTGAAAATAAAATAAAATTCAAGTATTTATATCATTGTCTGTAAATATCATAATCTCCCTAGTAGGCAATAATGCAAGATAATCTTATTATATACTAATTATAAGTTATTTTTTATTTATTCTTTCACTTAAAATATCTATCACCATTGTTAACAAGCTAAACACAGGTAACGTCACAACAACAATGAAAGTGAAGAAATATGATCAACGTGCAAGGTTGAAATATAATTAGATGGTGAAGGTAAAGGTAGAGATATTGTAGTAAGACTATGTAGAAAGAATAAATCAGGACAGACTGATATACCTCGCTAAAACCGGAAAACCAAGAGCACAAAGACCGATAAGAATAGCACCCAAAAGATGGAATGACAGCTGGATCTCTACCTCCTAGGAATGTAAACAAGGTTAAGGCGGCATTGAAATTAACAAACGTTATAGGTCTTCTAGAAGTTAGAAGAACAGTTAGTTTTACTATTAGTAATTCAATAATTTTCACCCTCGTGAATAATAATGACTATTGTCCCATAATAGTATATTATTGAACGAGTAATTTATGCTAGCCATTATTCACCTAAGTCGCAAGTCACCCGAGTAAATAATGGCTATAAATTGCGAGTTGAATACTATACTTTGTCCACGGCCATTATAATAATTATGAGGAGTAAACGTTCTCTAACGCAGTGTGAGTAAATATTATCAAAGCAAACGTTTGAAGGAGGGTAAAAGGACAATAACTCACAATCTTTAAGTTCTTTAATTTAAAAATTTTTAATGCTTAAAAAAGCAAGGGGGGCGACATGTTTCGGGAATTTAAAATATTCCCATCTTCAGGCCAAAAGCTAAAAACAATTACAGAGGTCAAATTTATAAAATACAATCACAAACAAGTTGAAAAGTAAAAAAAAAAATTTTTTACAAAGTCAAAAAATTATATTTATCACAAAAATTGCATATCTATCACAATCACAGATAACAATATGGTATGTTAAATTTGAAAAATTAAAAACAACTAGACTAAAATCATAAGGTGAGGGGAGCCGTATAATCCACCATAATTAGATAAATTGATTCAAAGAAAAATACTTAAGCAATAGTTAAATTTATTTTTAGTGATATATTTTTTTATATATTTTTTTGTATTAGTAATGTAAGTTGAGAGTAAATTATTAAAATGCTGATATTCAATTTTGTAGGATATTTTTTTTTAGTTATGTTACTTAAGAACCAGTTAAGAATTATGTTTATTTTTTATTTTTTAATTAGTATATGTTGAATTTTAATTTATATTTCAAATTTATTTATTAAAATGTCACTACCTACTTAAAATTTGGCAATTTCAAACATCAAAATTAACTAAAAGATAATAAAAACGTCAATATCATTAGTTGCTATGCATCAAGAGTCGCAGAACTATTCTATTTTAAAATATTTGGGAAGTTTATTATTTTGTGTTTTACGACATACCTGTATATTAGTACTTTTTTCTACCACCTTTAGTAAAATAAATTTGTTGAAAAATTATAGATCGTACCACCAGCAGCTGACTTTTTGTTGTTTTGTGTAACTAAAGTTGGTAATTTCTGTTTTATTTATCGTTATATATGTATTTAAATTTTATTGATGCTGCTTCAAGTTTTTTGCAATAAAACACATACTTCTTCCAACTTTAGTTGAGTACAGTTGTTGGAGAACGATAAATTGGAATACCATCATCTGACTTTTTGTTATTTTGTGTAACTAAAGTTGGTAATTTGTGTTTTATATAAAGTTATATATGTATTTGAATTTCATTGGTATTATTTCAAGTTCTTTGCATGAAAATATCGTATCAACATTCTTTAGTCAATCAGGAGATTGATTTTTGTTTGGCAACTAAATGGCAACTAAATATACTAACAACACGGATTCGGAAAACGAATTTATGCCTTTAGCAATCCTCTAGTCTAGAAAGTTTTTATAGGCAGACATGTAACGATCCTTAGAATTTTGTGGTAGCAATCCAATACTTGTTAATTTGGCCGCCTCTGCTATGTCTGGTGGTGTACAGGACTCACACATTATCACTCTCATAACATTTTTTGATTTTAAACGAGTTCTTGATATGTCACTTAATAATCACTACCTACTTAACATTTGACAATTTTAAACGTTAAAATTAATAAAAAGAAAAGATAAAAAAAACGTCAAATCATCCACGCCGCGCATCGGGATGTTGTGGGTGTCGCGTTGACATAGCAACAAATGTAAAGTAAATACAAAGTGTGATTTATCATAATTCACTGTTATCAGCTGTTATATTTTACTCTATTACAAATATGGGCAACATATTCCTTCAGCTAGGAAGTAGAATATTGATTAATTATTAAGTGGTCGTGGACAAAAATATTTATATGGCAAAACAACGTTTACCTGGTCAGCTAGTTTGTCTATAAATTTCAGAATTAAAGACAATGCCACGCTTAGAAAATATGCTATATGAAAGAATAAATCTGTCTACAACTTTCGAACAGAAAAATAAATAAATTAATTATTAATCAATAATATAATATAATCATTCTAAATTAGTGTTACGAAATAAACTGTTTTGTGATTATTATACTGTTAACAATTTTGTACTTAAATTGCAGTCTATTTTCTACAGATTACATTAAATAGTAGTAAAAGTCACTTTTGACGTCAAAAATATACATATACATAAATACACCTATTTATTTCGTTCTTATCGCCTATATTGCCATAAAAACTGTAAACTGAACGGATTTTATATTAATGACTTAATATTTTCGTATAGTTGTTTGTCTTAAAACTTGATTATTTTCTCAACAAAAATTTCCAGATTAGTACCTATAGGTATACCTTATCAAATCTGCTGAGAAAACATCTCTTTCACTATTCATTGCCCTTCGTAACTACATACAGGGTGGCCCATCGAAAACGTTCCGCAAGGCATAACGGCCAGGGTAATTTTTTTTTCAGAAAATTCAAAAACACGAATTTACGAATTCTTTAATTTAGGATGATAACCCATCATTCTGTGTTTAACTTCAAATGAAAGTATTTTTGAGATAAATCTCGAGACCAAACAATTTATTAGGATACAAGTTCCTATAAAAACGATCTTTTTAATAAAGGTAAGTTATCAGTGGCGGAGATATTTTTTTTAAATGTGCGTTTTTTACATTTTAAAAACATTGAATAAGAAAAATTGCAGTTTTACAAATAATTTCCCACGAAATAGGTATATTGAAAAATGTATACGTTTAATAACAAAATAAGAAAAACCTTAACTCAAAAACAGGATAACTTGTCTTAAGGATAGTCCTCATTCACTTCCACGTTTGTTGGGTTCATACATGTAATGCCATTGCATTGACCACATGCCATATACCACGCCCTTTCTTAGTCGAAGTTCAATAAAACACAAAGTTTACTTAATCTGAATGAGTTACATAGAGGCCACTAGCTTTTTAATTTTAACAGCCGGGTGGTCGGGGTTCAAAGGTATTAATAAAAGGGCGCCACGAGATTATACTCTATGAACTCGGCATAAAAGATGTTACTATTAAGTAGACTTCAACACTAACCTCGAACTGTTGAGTGCAACTATCATGAACTTCAAATATTCTATAACTATTTGTACTTAAGTGACTCTAACTTAACTATGAGACTAGACTGCAAATAATACTACTAAAAATATTTAAGCAATTTATTGAAATATCAAAAAGGTTAAATGTATAGAGAAAATGATGAAATGTATATGAAATGAAGTAAAGTTTAAATCGATAAAATAAATGAAAAATGAAAATGGTCTAAGCTATATTAAAACTAAGACGTCATCCCCCCTTATCTAACTTAACACTAGATACAACCAGTGGTTTACATATAGCAAATCTAAAATTATACTAATCTAAACAGTCTTACTCTAATCGTTGTATAAACTTGAAACTACTCGAAGTTCCTCCGGCTGAGCTACGGTGTATAGCTATGGTGTGGCTACAGCGGGGTACAGCAGCTCGGTGTATTGTCACTGGAGACCACGGATGTCAGCAGACGTACAGATGAAAGGCAAGTTGTTGAGGTTTCAAATGGTGAACATAAAAAACCTCAATGAGGGTTTATGATGTCCAACTGGTAACTCTACACACGGGCAACAGGAACGGATGGAATTCTGGACTGTTCTGTGCTGTACGGTCTGGATCGGTCTTCTTGCTCTTGGAACTGTTCGGGGACTTCTTGGGCACGTGGAATCGGAATATCGGTCGGAAAATTTGGCTATTTTAATCCCATTGCGGAAATTGGTCGGCGGTCCATACAAATCAACAAAATCCAACCACGTCTCTGACCAAAGGTGTATCGGAAGCCTTAATCCTTCTTTACGAAGACCTGCTATTCGCCAACAGGGAATGCTTCACGAAACGGCAGCCATTTCTTCACGACGATATTCTCGGTCGGGGAGTATACAAGAAGTGATGCAAGGATTCGATTTCCTTCAAAAAATCAGATTTCAACCGGAAATCTCCCTCCAGGATATAGATAGAGAACTATATATCTTGACTAGTCCAACTCACAAAAAGGCATAAATAAAAAACGATGTTTTAGAATATTTTCTATTGTCATATTTCATATCCGGTCAATGAACGAACTAAACTCACAAATTCTCACAATTAAATGAACGAATTGCACACTGCGATCCACATCAAAAATAACCAATTTAACTACGAAATGTTATCTGATAATTATAAAATTTCAATAACCAAAGCACAGGATAAATAAATCCAAATACATCTGATTTGATCTGACAGTGACAAGTGACAAGTGATGACCAAAGATAAAAAGAGGTCGACAAAAATTCTAATGCTGGGCGGCATCCAGTGACAATATTCTGTGGCTCTATAGCGCGGTGTATATCGGGTTGCATAATTGTAAAATTTAAATAAAATAATATTTAACAATAAAATTATAGTAAACATGATAGTAGCAAAAATAATAGCTATTTGCGATATTTTATGAGCTAGCACACAGAGGTCGTTGCGAAGAAATTTGACTGTTACACATAGTGCAGGTGAGTCCCATTCGCTTGCATGTACATGCTTTTTACAGCCTCCCGAAGAGCAATTGCAAAAAATTTTCTCTTAAACCCATGTATGAGCAATGGGATGATCTGAATGTATTGGATTCATCTCTCGATTATTCAGATTCCAACCCCAGACTTGCGGTGGTAAATTGTTATTTAACCAAGCCTGTACCCTACGATATTTTTAGATCTGTTTTCTCAATACTATAATTATATAACATATCACTATGGTAAAAATGTCACTGTTGTTTTTGATGGCTATGAAGAGATACAGACCAAAATTGTGGAGCAGAATCGCAGATCTGCAGGTAAAAAAATGGTAGCAATTGTATCTTTCTCGAATTTATCTGCAGAGAAGGTACCAAAAGCAGATTTTTTGTCAAACAACACCAACAAAAGCAACTTCATTCGTGCGCTCGGAAAAGTATTGTTGGAAAATGGAAGCAATGTTTAATTCGCTGATGGTGATGCCGATACTCTTATTGTAACTACAGCGGTCGCAATAAGTGACAATTTACTAGAAGGGGCCGTAGCAGTAGTTAGCGAAGATACGGACATTATAGTGTTACTGATTCATTATTGCCACAAGAGACTGTTTATGATTCGTCCAGGAAAGGTGTCAAAACCAAATAAAATAATCGACATATCGGCCTTACAACAAAAATTGGGGGATCTGAAGAATGTGATTCTTAGTGTCCACGCTATATCTGGTTGTGACACAACGTCTACTGTGTTCAATAAAGGGAAGATTAATTTAGTGAACACCATCCAGAAGAAAAAGTTATGTGAGCTATTAAAAGAATTTTATAATCCCGACCCAAGTAGCATTTTCACGACTTGCGACCACATGTTTACTAAACACAACGTTGGATTAGTTACAAAAAATAGTTAGCTCCCTACCATGGGTATTAAAATAAATTTAAACGTTTTTATAACGTTGTGCCGACGTTGGACTAGTGCTACAGCAAAGTAGAAGCTTCTGCGACGTCGAATAAACGTTGTCTTGTAACCTTTTTGCTTAAGTGATCTTTACGTGATTCGGACAACGTAGTTACAACGTTGGACAATATAGAGTTTTCCGACGTCAGTTTCAGGACCTATTCCAACGTTATGCAAACGTCGTCTGTTTTACTAATTCCAACGTTGTTTAGATTTCCTTATTCTTACGTTGGTAGGACGTCGAGCCACTACCTTTTTGCAACTGTATTGAACCATAACCTTAAATCTTAAATTTTCACTTCATTGTTCTGTTCAGTCAGACAGTTCAGTGCTGTTTTTGTTTTTATAAAAAAAACTTAATTAAAATGGAACATAAGAAAGGTACATATAAAACTAAATTTAAATATACATCGACATACATTACCGATAGTTTATCCACTCCCTCGTTTATTTAGATTATAGAGGGCGGCACAAGCTAGACTCTAGGATGACTAAATTAGGCAATCTTGCGACTAGTATACTACCTGTTAAGGCTGAACTGCGACTTTATTAGTCCAGTATGCGACTACTCGAACTACTCCATCTTAATCTCCAAAACAACACAGTGAAAGCCGCCATGTTGTTAAATAAGAAAATGTTTCGTTCCTAAAATAGCAATTCCTGCTTTTTGAATACATTAACTTGAAATATTTGACCCTAAAAACACGCGGAAACAATTTTTCGACTGCGAATAAATTATTCTCATTTTACTAAAAAAAAAATTCAAGAAAATTTTTAAAACTTCTTTAATTTTAAGGCCCATTAGTATTTTTCAAAGTAGAAACAATACATTTATCAATAAAGTTGTTTGCGTCTAACTTTTTTGCCTTGGGTAACGAGTTACTGAGTCGGTTAAAGTGTTTCAATAATTATGATCTTCAAACATCCCCCACACTTAAATACTTTTGTTTTGTTTTCCTTCACTGCCATCTGACATATGTCTCTAACTAAATCATAAAAATAATATTTTTACTATAATTATCCCAATTTAGGATAAAACGCGACTTAGACGCCATATTAGTTTTGTATTTCTGTGAATTAGGATTTTAAACAACGTTGCAGTTTGTACTAAATTAGGCTTCTAGCCAACGTCGGTATCCAACGTCGTTTCGACCCAAAAATTATTCTCCAAACTGGTGCAGACTAGGGTTGGCACGAGGTTGTGCCGACGTTGGGCCCCGACGTTTGGTCGCGTGACACAACGTTGTCCCGACGTCCAAATGCTGCTTGGGGATGCTACAAAGGAGAAGTTAGAAGAAGTTACATCTCAGTTTTTTATAGCAGCATATGTTAATAACTCGACAAAAAAGTAGATTTGGATAGTGCCAGATACATGCTTTATCAACAGTACGTAGCTAAAAGAAGTCTTAATACCAACTTCAACTTGGCATCATTACCAACTACCTCAATAGTGCGAAATATCATGGAGTTAAGAGTTTTTTATCAGGTAAGTTAAATGTTGCATTCAAATGTTAAACTAAATTCTCATTTTTGACTTACAAGTACCAGGCTTAGTTAAATAACAATTAACCACCGCAAGATTTGGGCTGGAATCTGAAAAATCGAGAGATGAATCCAATACATTCAGACCCGCCCATTGCTCCTACAGAGGTTTTAGAGAAAATGTTTTGCAATTGCTCTTCGGTAGGCTGTAAAAAAGCATGTACATGCAAGCGAATGGGACTCACCTGCACTATGGCATATGGTCAATGCAATGGTATTACATGTATGAACCCAACAAATGTAGAAGTGTATTTTTGAGCTAAGGTTTTTCTTATTTTGTTATTAAACGTGTAAATTTTTCAATATACCTATTTCATGGGAAATTATTTGTAAAACTGCAATTTTTCAATATTTTTAAAATGTAAAAAACGCATATTCAAAAAAATTATCTCCGCCACTGGTAACTTACCTTTATTAAAAAGATCGTTTTTATAGGAACTTGTATCCTAATAAATTTTTTGGTTTCGAGATTTATCTCAAAAATGCTTTCATTTGAAGTTAAACACAGAATGGTGGGTTATTAAAACAATCCTCCTAAATTAAATAATTCGCACCTGCGCCACTGAAATTCTAAACATTTTGGTTCTTTACCTATGTAGTAGGAAATTTTCTTCTCTTCAATTTTTTACTCGTGACTTTTTTTCTTAAAATTCGTAGTTTTAGAGTTATTGAAGAAAAAGTAAAAAAAGGGCTATTTTTACCCCTTGTAGGGGTGGTTTTGGGGTGACGGGCTCAACGCTTCATCGCGGTGGTTTCAGGATGTTTAAAGATCTACAAAATGAAGCTCCATGCCAAATTTCAGCTTGTCTCTAATTTGTTGAACCTCGGCCTGTATAGGCTCTGGGCTTTATGGATACATCTGACTAACGCAAGCTGTTGCTAGGATATTCTATTAATTTTAATTGTGTTTTTTTAAACACTGTGAATGATCGTAAACTATAAACTGTAATTGAAACCCCTAATTTATTCCACTAATCACGAGGTTCGGAATGAAGCTATAATCTTGTATTATTATTATTGGACCACACTCTACATTTAGGATTTCTGATTAAGTTTGAAATCTTGTATTATTGAAACGTGGCCATTGAAAAATAAATAGGTACTTAGGTAGCGAAAGCAATAGATTGTCTTCTTTTTTGATAATTTTCAAGAAAATAGAAATATACCATATGAAGAAAAAAAGAACGGTGTCAAAGACGGCTGGGGAATGACAATCGGTGGTAATTTTAGTGAGATCAAATACTAGACGTGATTTACTTGTCCCGTACTCTTCTTTATTTTTCAATTGCGCTTATTGCCAGTTTACCTTAAGAAGGATGTAATTCAGTTTTATATTGAGTAAAAATTATTTAAATGCGTAGATTAGAATTTAAGAAAAAAATGTTTATCCAACAGCAACTACTTATACAGATATTATAACATGCATATAAAATAAATAATAACACACGCGTGAGTTTTTGAAGTTATGACGAACTAGTGTGTTATGAATTCCCTATTATATACGCCACGATACTTTTCTGGCAGTATTTGTGCTGTAGCCGCCTCTCTCCGCCTGGTTAATAATTTCTTGCGGAATATCTTCCTGAATCACTTTTCTTTAAAATCTGATTTGCTGGTTGATAATTCACTATTTTATCGATAAAAAATCGCAATTATTCTTGAGATTGGATATGAAACAGTTCTGCTGTTGGATAAAATTTTGTATGGCACTCGCGTGTTATAACATATAAGTCACTTGAGAAAATATTTCCCAGCGTGACTTATATGTAAGATAACAAACTAGTACCATAAATAACTATTTTTGAACATAGATTATTTGTGTGTCTTGAAACATTTTATCCTTTTTTCATCTTTCTATAATTACTGTTAATTTTTGACAAGTTTTACGTCAATTTTTAGTAAAAAGGACCAGATTGACCTCGCCAATATTTTTATTGATTGTCATTCGCCAGCCGTCTTTGGCAATGATTTTTTTTTGGATCAAAGGGTATCTTATCATTAGTTGATAGTAGTTAAATAAGCAATAAAATATCAATGTCTTTTAAAATAAATCTACCGCCTTTTGTTAATTAGAAGTCAATTATGACAATAATTAAATCCATGAAATAGTTCAGATTTATTTTTCATCCAATTTCACGAACTATATTTTTAAATGCTCCAGACTCACCTCGCTAACGACCGATTGTCGCACGTCGTCCACGTCATAAGTCCATCCATTTTTGCAGAGAACAGTACTGCCGTTGCGGATCCGATCGATAGCTGCCGCATTTACGATATTTATGCTATCGTAATTGAGATCGTACATCAGACACTGGCTGAATTTTGATTTGTTGTTCGCATGGGATTCGAAAGGAATGCTGAAACAAATAGGAAATCATTTTAGGACGGCGATACATCATGCATATTTATGTGTGGGGAAATTAGATTTTAATCCGAATTATTAAAAAAGTTTTCTATTTAGTGATCGAAATGAATTGTTGCTAATTAAGTGCTTCTTCACATGAAGCGGAGCGTCCGCGAGTTCGAGCACTTGCTAAGAAATCCTAACTCATGGTAGGTACTTACCATGAGTTTAAATGAACAATTTCAGATTTTTCAGCGCTATTTCACATACACGCGGACCCTCCGTCTTTGAAGCTGTAAATCAATGAGTACCTTTAAAATTGAAACAGAATTGAAATTGATATACGCTGTTGAAAACCAAAGAAGTAGGTATATGAGATGTCGTATGCGAGGAATATAAAAACAGGGATGTTAAAAATAAAGCATATTATGGAGACGTTGCAGCTGCTACAGTACCAGATTTTGATAATTTGAACCGGAAAGAATAGTGTAAAGGCTGATTCTCACTATACCTTCCATATCAGCTCCCTTCCGTTTACATAAAATATTATATCATATGTAAATGAATAAGACAATGCACACTATCCGTTCCGTTTCCCTTCCGTTCCATACCCTTTCTTTCCATACATTTTTTTGGCGGCCGGACTGAAGCGTATCGAAAACAGCGTTGTCAAGTTCTTACATCTGTACCAGCTCTATTAACATTTGTGCTGATATTTGTTTATTCTTTCACCTTTTAATTAAATCTATTACCTTTTTCAAAAGATATAAATTTTTAAAATAAAACTTTCGTAATGATATACATTATTGTACAGGGTGGGGTCAAATTCGACGCTTTTAAATGGAAACACCCTTTTCTGTAGGAGATAGACGAAAACTAATGTTGGTGTCTGGAGCTCAATTTTCATCAAAAATATGATGGTGAAAAGTACACATCAATATCTGTTACCGTTTCTCAGTTACGGGGTGTTTTTCAAAAATGTGCATTTTTAGCAAATCGCTGTAACTTTTTTGCTATGGAAAATGTTGTATTTCTATGAAAACATTTCCAAAGCACCTTTTTACGTAGAATTTAATGGTTCACTTGATATTTTGTTATAAACCCCTTCGAAATACAAAATTTTTTTCAGAAAGAATTTTTCTGAAAAATTTTATAGAGCGAATATTTATATTGTAAAGAAATTTGGCGAAATTTACTAGTAATAGTTAGTGAGTTGTCAGTTACTAGTAATTGTTGTCGCTAGTGAGAGTAACATTTACTAAAAATTGTCAGTGAAAGTCATTCTATTGTACAATAGCGAGAGCGTTGATGGAACTTGGAACAAATAGAACTTTTAAAACATTGAATCACCTCCATATTTAAGATGATGCACTCATCTTAAAATTACAAGACAATGCTGCCTAAACGGAAGCACCTAAATCAAAGTGTTTGTTTATACTTAACCCTTAACCTTAGAAAACATTAAGCTTCTAACTGCTTTAGTATAATTAACTATCAATCGACACAAAGTTGCACGAATCAGTTTTGATTGCTTGAGTTTCAACCTTTTTTTCGATATTCTTTATTTTTTTAATGTTAATAAGAGTTTAATTGATTTATTTTATTAATATGTAATTAAAGTACTTTCCTAAATCAGACTTTTTTTAATTTGGTCTCTGATACCAAGCACCTGCTTGTCCAACAATTTTATTTCTGGTCATATGTGACCCATATCTATGTTGCTATAGATCAAGAGTGTTCTTTTTCTGCCTTTCAAAAGTAATTTACTCTTATAACTTTTTACTTTTCCAGATAAAGTGACATTTGATATGTTAGTATATGAAAAGCAGGATGATTGATGTAGTCAATTAGTTTCGGTCACTTCCTGTTTTATCGGAAATGACTCTACAACTTTTGATTTTTAAATGGTATGTATCCTTGATATTGTTTTACTATACTTGATAGAAAATGGCATTTTGAATAGAGAGACACAAAGAATAGAAGTGGCATATTATATGTCACCTTTGGACATTTTCGCTTAAAAATAGTAATTTAAATTTCTCATGGTCATGGTTATCTTAAAACTACAACTGTTTAAACAAGGAGCATTTTTTAGCGAATAAATTTGTGACTCATACTTGTGTACAACCAGTGCACTCTAAATTGGATTTTAAAATACTATTTTTAAGCAAAAATGTCAAAAGTTGTCTATTCACTCTATTCAGAATGTCATTTTCTATTCAATAATGTAAAAAATACTGAGGGTGCCATTTACAAATCATAGGTTGTAGTCATTTCCGGTGAAAGAGGAAGTGATCCAAACTAACTGAATACATAAACCAATCCTGGTTTATTTCGTATACTAATAAACCAAATGTCGAGTTTTAAGTCGTGTATAGTAGTGTTTAGTGAAAAAATAAAAATCTTTAAAAGTGAGCTACTTTTGAAAAACACCCGGTATATATCTCTCCTCGTATATTGTATTTACTGGACGAATTAATAAAAACGCAAGTGCTGTTTTACATGGAGCGGATCGTCCACGCGGATCGTCGTCGTATTTTTTCAAGGTTTGACGAACAGCTTTCACATGGGTTGTTAAATTCTTCGCGAATAGACATGTATTTGCAGAATAGGCAAACCGCTCTTGCCATATTATATGCTATACTATATGCCTTGCTATATCAATTCTACGAAGAAATCAGCGGCCCTGCTTGTTTTGTTTTAAATTACAAAGGAAATTAATAAAAATATTTGTAGGCAGAATCTCTTGCTTATTACTGTTCATTACTAGTTTATTTTAATAACTTATCAATAAGAATAGTAGAAAATGTTTTTATTTAACAGCTTAAAGGCTGATTTTCACTATACTTTCCGTTTCTATTCCATATCCGTTCCGTATTTTTTATTGTATTGACGCTATACATAAGCTTTCGATCCGTATCAGTTCCATACTTTTTACTATACAGGGTGGGTCAAATCCGACGCTTTTAAATGGAAGCACCCTTTTCTATAGGTGATAGACAAAAACTAATATCGGTGTCTGGAGCTCAATTTTTGTCAAAAACATGATGATGAAAACCGCATATCGATATCTGTTACTGTTTCGGAGTTACGGGATGTTTTTCAAAAATATGCATTTGTAACAAATCGCTGTAACTTTTTTGCAATGAAAAATGTTGTATTTTTATGAAAACATTTCCAAAGCACCCTTTTACGTGGAATTTAATGGTTTAAGTATATTTTTTTTTAATTAATAATTTAAGAATTATCAACAGAAAATTTGATTTTTTATATGGGACACCCTGTATATTTTTAATTTATTGAAAATAATTTAAAATTACCTTTCCAAAAATATAACACACTTGATATTTTGCTCGATTCCTCTTCGAGATGTAGAATAAAAATTCGCCCGCTTTAAATAAGTGCTTAGAACGGCACCGGCTGTAATGCAAAAAAATTCTAGCTGTGAGCATCAACTAAATGAGAGATGCAGAATTTTATAACAATTTAAAATATATCTAACCAACATCAACACATTTAAACTATATCTAATAACAATAAAAATAATAGCAAACCAAGACATGATATTTTGCTACAGGTGTTCGACATATCGACCGTCTTCTGTTATGGACAGACGGGGCAGTTTTTGAACATTTCTCGCGGAATTCATTAACTCAGTGGGGGTGAAAGATACCCTCTCATAACTGCTAAGTATTTTTAATTCTTGTCTAGATTATACCAAAGAATAAGGAACCTTTATTCTTCAGCAAATATATCCATAGGAATAGATCCATGGGCACTAAGTCAGGCGGCCTCGATTGCCAACGGCTGGGATCTTGGTTAGCTATCCAATTAATCTTGAAATTGGCGGCAAAAATTTGCTGATAACTTCAGCGTTCAGAGGCAGTGCGTCATTTTGCTGGAAAAATATGTTTTCGAGTTCCATTAAGGGCATATCACCAATAAGGGGCCTAAAGCTTACTAGTTAAAAGTGGCGAAATTTTTAAAACTTCGCCATGTAAAACAGCACTTGCGTTTTTATTAATTCGTCCAGTAAATACAATATACGAGGAGAGATATATACCGGGTGTTTTTCAAAAGTAGCTCACTTTTAAAGATTTTTATTTTTTCACTAAACACTACTATACACGACTTAAAACTCGACATTTGGTTTATTAGTATACGAAATAAACCAGGATTGGTTTATGTATTCAGTTAGTTTGGATCACTTCCTCTTTCACCGGAAATGACTACAACCTATGATTTGTAAATGGCACCCTCAGTATTTTTTACATTATTGAATAGAAAATGACATTCTGAATAGAGTGAATAGACAACTTTTGACATTTTTGCTTAAAAATAGTATTTTAAAATCCAATTTAGAGTGCACTGGTTGTACACAAGTATGAGTCACAAATTTATTCGCTAAAAAATGCTCCTTGTTTAAACAGTTGTAGTTTTAAGATAACCATGACCATGAGAAATTTAAATTACTATTTTTAAGCGAAAATGTCCAAAGGTGACATATAATATGCCACTTCTATTCTTTGTGTCTCTCTATTCAAAATGCCATTTTCTATCAAGTATAGTAAAACAATATCAAGGATACATACCATTTAAAAATCAAAAGTTGTAGAGTCATTTCCGGTAAAACAGGAAGTGACCGAAACTAATTGACTACATCAATCATCCTGCTTTTCATATACTAACATATCAAATGTCACTTTATCTGGAAAAGTAAAAAGTTATAAGAGTAAATTACTTTTGAAAGGCAGAAAAAGAACACTCTTGATCTATAGCAACATAGATATGGGTCACATATGACCAGAAATAAAATTGTTGGACAAGCAGGTGCTTGGTATCAGAGACCAAATTAAAAAAAGTCTGATTTAGGAAAGTACTTTAATTACATATTAATAAAATAAATCAATTAAACTCTTATTAACATTAAAAAAATAAAGAATATCGAAAAAAAGGTTGAAACTCAAGCAATCAAAACTGATTCGTGCAACTTTGTGTCGATTGATAGTTAATTATACTAAAGCAGTTAGAAGCTTAATGTTTTCTAAGGTTAAGGATTAAGTATAAACAAATACTTTGATTTAGGTGCTTCCGTTTAGGCAGCATTGTCTTGTAATTTTAAGATGAGTGCATCATCTTAAATATGGAGGTGATTCAATGTTTTAAAAGTTCTATTTGTTCCAACTTCCATCAACGCTCTCGCTATTGTACAATAGAATGACTTTCACTGACAATTTTTAGTAAATGTTACTCTCACTAGCGACAACAATTACTAGTAACTGACAACTCCTAACTATTACTAGTAAATTTCGCCAAATTTCTTTACAATATAAATATTCGCTCTATAAAATTTTTCAGAAAAATTCCGAATTTTCTTTTCGCGTAAAAAACCTCATAATCGTATTTCTGGGGTCGAAATATACTACCCCTAAAAATATTTGCACTTATTTAAGACTCCTGTATAGTATTTAAATAACAACATAATATTATTATTTATTTTTTTTATTCTAAATTCTAATTAAATGCTAGAAAAAATAAAAACAATAGTCGAGTAGAAACATTTCGGCTGTAAACTTGTATTTTTTAACAAACGATACAAATAGTTTTCGAAACTAAAATATTTTACGTATCAAAAAACAATATTAAAATAAAACACAATCGATACCTGATATTTTTCAATAAATCGTAATCCACACCGGACGCATTCGGTAATCTGCACCAATGATTCGGCACCGTAGCCATAAAGAGCTGACTGTAAGCGTTAAATCCACATGGAAACACAGCGGGCAACAAAATAAACCACACAACTAATTTCTGGTATTTTCCAAATTCACCAATTGAAGGTAAAATCTCATCCAAATCCATTTCCAATATTTTTCAATTTTTTTCTGTTATCACTTTACACTATTCTCTAACATTATTATTACTTTAAATAGTTGAATCGGTTATTTTTATGAAAAACAATCCAAAAATAAATTTATATCGAAATATATCAGAGGAGCGAATTTTTTGTGCTCTAGAAAAGCATTATTTGATTAGTTATTACATTAAGGACCCTTGGTTACCTACCTATTTTAATGGAATTAATGCTATTTGACGTATTAATTGGAGCAAATTGATTTTTAAATCAGGAAGAGGAAACGCTGATTGAATTATTACAGTTAAGCACGTACTCCGCTTTGAGGACTGGAAAATGGCACTCGTTTTATCTGCCGAATTAAAAAATCTATAAATACCAAACGCACATTTAAAAAGGGCATACGCATCAGTATGTACCGGGTGGCCAACTAAGAATGGACGCCGTCTGTATCTCAGAAACTACTTATCGTATAACTTTGGGAAAAAAATTCTAATAATTAAATCGATATTCTAAAAAGACAAATCGCTGGAAATAATTTTCAAGTTCGAAAAATTTCCATTTAATTGTTATTTATCCATGTTCATTCTTGATTCGACCCCATAAATAAAATCCCAAGCATAACGCTTTATTGTGCAAAAAGTCAAAACAGCTTCATCGACAAAGCACTCAAGTTACAAAGACACTCAAAATAAACAAAAGTACAAAATAAAATATACACAATAAAAATAATACAATTCAAAAAAATTTAAGTCATTAAAATGACAAATAGAACATACATGGACAATGATAATGTAAATAGTAAATAAGTAAATAGATATAATTTTAAGAGTTATAAAATATTAAATATTTGACCTTTGTCCAGCGTCTGAGATGATCAAAATTTTAAAATTCAAAATATTTAGTTCATGATTAAACATCAACAAAAAAGTCGTTTACCGCATATAGGGCTCTCTCCAGTAAGTATGATTTCAGAGCTTTGAGAAATGCAGGAAAGAATGAAAGCGATTTGATATTCCAAGGCAGATGATTGTACATTTTTTTTTGCATTGTACAATATTGAACCTTTAACTAGTTCTGAGCTCGGGGTTGGCAGATAAAGATCGTGCTCCGCGTTCCTAAGTGGATAGTTATGAGATGGCCTTTCGGGAATAGTAGATATGTGCTTGCGGATTAAGCAAACGGATTCAAAAATGAATAAAGAAGCAAGTATTTTGAAATTTTTAAAGAAATTCTGGCAGTGAGTTTTACTGTTCAGTCCCAATAAATATCGAACTGCTCTCTTTTGAAGCAGTCTGAAAAAAAAAAAAAAAAAAAAAAATCAATTCAAATTTTGTGGAGCAGCAAGTACCCCAGAATGGAAGAGCATAACGAAGATGTGACTCAAAAAGGGCATAATAGGCTATTCTAGAGGTTGATGGAAAAACTTAGAAACTGATCTTAGCGCAAAACAGGCAGCGCTTAGTTTGTTTGATAGAGCTTCGATGTGAAAGTCCCAATTTAACGAGTTGTCTACAACAAGTCCTAATTCACAGAATCCACGACGTCAATTGTGGTGTTATTAAGTACAAAAGGTTGTATAGTACTTTTATATGACAAAACTTTAGTTTTTGAAAGGTTGAGGCATAGGAGATTAGAATCGCACCAAGATTTAATGGTGCACGAGTCACTGGATATAGTATTACATAGTCCTAATTCACAGAATCAACGACGTCAATTGTGGTGTTATTAAGTACAAAAGGTTGTATAGTACTTTTATATGACAAAACTTTAGTTTTTGAAAGGTTGAGGCATAGGAGATTAGAATCGTACCAAGATTTAATGGTGCACGAGTCACTGGATATAGTATTACATAGTGCCGTAACATCTGGGTCGCTCCAAGTGAAACTAGTATCGTCCGCAATGAGACAGATTTTATCGCTAATGTCTAGATTTGCAACGTCGTTGATAAACCCCAGAAACAAAATAGGGCCAAGTACTGAACCCTGAGGGACACCACATTCTATAGGCTTACACGAAGACATAGACGAATCAATCCTCACAAGCTGCCTTCTGTTGCCAAGATATGACTTAATATCAGAATGTCATTAAAGAACACCTATTAATAATACTCCATTTCCTTCAATATTGCATTTTTTGTAAAAAAAATGATGGTTAAACAATATAACCAAAAAGATAGCAAATATTGACTTTATTAGTGTACAAAAAGTCAACATCGGACCTTATCTTTTTATCATTATTTATGACAAAATCACACATAATAATTACTTCATAAATACCGAGTAAACTGCATCTTTGTATCATATATACAAAAACCAACAAAGTGATAATAATATAACACTTAAGATAAGCCTTATCGATAACAGCATTGTTAAAATAAAAATGTGATACTAGCGGGCGAATTCGAATATTGATTTAGCGCGTTTTGTTAACCTAAAAGTGATTAACTGTTTATAAAAATATGTATATGGACATTTTAGCTGGTTTGTTAGTGATTTTTTTAAGTTTTGTGTATATCCAGAATAAAAAGGAACCCAAGGCAATATTTGGGGTGTATTATCAACCTGGAAAATGGTATTTTATCAAATACCCGGTGTTTTTATTGTTAGTAGTGTTAAGAAGAGTGAAATATTATATAGTTGGGAAAGATGGAATGTTTGATATAAAAGAGTTGGAAAAATGTCAACCTCTCTCTAGCCATCCGTTGGTAATTTTTATTTTATACATGTTTTATACAACTTATTGGAATTTTATATTCACACTTTAAGATAATTGACATAGATATTGAGATAATATTATTAAATTATTTAACCTTTAATTTACAGGTGGTTGCTTTGAATTATCATATAATATAACATTAGAACCAAATTCTGAAGTACTTCCTAAAAGTGACGGTTTATTTATTTTTATATTATAGATATATTTTATTTCATTGGAATTATTTGGAAAAAAACTCAAAAATTATTCATCAAAATAAAAACACTAATATATATTAAAATAAAATTTCTCAGCAGTAACCAAACTTGAAAAACAATTTGTAATTGTAAAACAATGAAAACAAATATTAAAAATTTCAGAAAATTCCCATTTTATAGAGTTAATGTTTTTGTAATTTCGAAAACATCAATTTTAAAATAGCACACATAACAAAATTAATTTAAAAATATTAACTTATTTTCTACAGCCCTTAATTTAGTACCTGTACCATAAATATGATAAATAAAAACAATATTATGGATATACAGGGTGTTCCATTTTTGACAAAATCATACAGTATCTCCATTATTAACGTAGATAGGGGAATGCGGTTTTTTTTTTGCACAAATATTTTTTGTCAAAAGGAAAATGCTGTAAATAAAATTCTCATCTCCTTCTTCGTTCTAAGGCTTTATAGGGTGTTCCAAATTCGAAGGTGATTATTGGGAATTAGAAACTATAAAAGATTCGATCGAGGTCAAATTATAACACAGTTTTGCAATTTTATGTCCAATGAAACAATGTTTTAAAAAAAAATCTCGATATACTTCCGAAGATATTCGAAAAAAAGGGAAATCTTTTAATATAATTTTTATTTTTTCGAGATTTTAGTTGATCAGATATTTTAAAATAAATGCCACTTCATCATTGCTATTTTTTTCTCTTTATAAGGTGATGCTATCAAATGTTAAGTCCTATTTTCATTTCTTAAAAGTTTATCATCTGCCAAATACAATGTTGCACAAAATCCCAATATAATATGTGGATAAGATTTCCATGAGATACATAATGTTTGGGAGGGAAACAAACGCCAAAATCATTTTAATTATTATGTGTAAAAAAACAGACAACGAAAACTTTTTCGGATCTGCATTTAGGTCATAAATTTTTAAAAAAGGAAATAATCATCTAGATCCGTATTTAGAAAAAAATAAAGTTGATGATTGTATCTCGGAACAACACATCATATTTGAAACTGAATTGCACCATCCTATAAAGAGAAAATATTAATATTAAAATGAATTGACAGGTTTACTTCAGAATGGTTACTCTGAGACATCCCTAGACTAAATTATATCAAATTATAAACTGATTCATTGGTTTATCAACCTGAAGAAGATGTTATCTCTATTGACTATTCCATAATATGTAAAAGGAACGTCAGAAAAGATCAGGCAAATAGCCAAAAAATACAACATAAAACCTATCTTCTCGATAACTATCTAATCTGGATCGACTCTTAGAAGCGTCCTAACAAAAACAAGACCGGAATCATTGAAACAAGAGAAAGAGTGCATCTACTAGGTTGTGAACGCGGTGAGTCGTATGGGGAGATTAAAAGGCATATAAATGTACGACTTAGCGAGCACAAAAACCTGTATAAAAAAGTGAAACAATGAAGTCCGGTATTGCCGACCATGTTTGGTCAAAACAGCACAACATAAAATGGTCGGATGCTCTGGTTGTCCACAGGGAACCAGGACTTCTAAGTGAACCACCTTGCGGTTGATTTTGTAGTTTTAGGAATAAGATTAGTTTACACTTGATAACGGCCAGTGATCGTTCTGACCAAAACGTTGTGTTAATCAAAATAAATAAAGACAATGGAAGTCCGAAATTCTTTTAGTTTCTATCTCTTCAGACATATCAAAGAAAAAGTATCAACTATTTTACAATATTTCGGGTTTTTCCGAATATCTTCAGAATCATTCTGGTATTCTGTACTATAATTTGACCTTCCTCGTAATCTCTTGTTTGGTTTCCGACATTCCAATGCTACCCCTCCAATTTGGGACACTTGTAGAATAAAAAAACGTCAATTACCGAAATTACTTCTCAATTATAATATGAAAATATATAGAAAACTAACTTTAAACTAAATTTATCTTAAATTTTATCCAACTTCTTATTATCCATAGTTACTTTCAATCGATTTCTAAGTAATCTCTACTAACCAAACTAAAGCCGTAAAATAAAATGCATAAATTGCTAATAAGAAAGTTTTTCGAAGAATTTTACGTCGAACTCTTAAAGATAATTCATAAAATTTTCTTTGCTTAAAGGCTTTTGATGCGGTATTTTTCCACGGGGCGGCACAAAATGGAATATTTCTATGTGGTGGAACGGAACGACGAAAAGATGGAGTAATTAATGGATTGCTATATATTTTGGTAAGTATTTTTAGTGTATACAGTATGTTTACCGATTGCCTTTATAAGAGAAAACACTTTTTCATTACCCATGAACTGGTTTGAGAAAAATGCATTCTTCATAAAAAAATTTGCCTGTTCTAAAATGGCTAAATCCTTTTACACTTTTTCAAATTTCCTACTGTTTCAGAAAAAGATATGAATATTTTTTCTCAAAAAATCAAAAACGCGTCTGTATAGTAAAATCAATTCCTTTCCATTATTAGTAAATACCATCCGATCGAAAAAAAAACGGCGTCAAAGACGGCGTCAAAGATGGCTATAATCGATTATAATTTTGGCGAGGTCAAGCCCTAGACGTCATTACTTGGCTGGTAGGTACTCTTTTTTATTTTTTAATGAAGTTTAATGCCAGTTGTCTGTCTGGAAATATGCTATCCTTTTTTAATCTTTCTTAATTAGTGTTAATTTTTGACAAATATTCTGTCAATTTTTAGTAAATGACGTGTAGAGATTGACCCCGCTAAAATTGATTGTCATTCCCAGCTGTCTTTGATCCGTCATACGGTACTTTTGTTTGGATATTTTGGTTTTATAAGAGAAAATCATAATGTCTATATATATATATATATATATATATATATATATATATATATATATATATATATATATATATATATATATATATATATATATATATATATATATATATATATATATATATATATATATATCAAAGACATTATAAAGATAGACCGAACATCTCATTCATAAATACTCGTTGGTGGTGTATCAAACATTCCAATGTGTCAAACAAAGACAGAAGAGACAGAGAAGTCTAAAATTTCCGACCCCGGCAACTAGGCGCATTTGGATTGTTCTAATGGCCAGTGGCGTATCGTTTTTTGGAACGAATTTAATTAGTAAAGTAAAAGTAAAGTAATTAGTAAATTTTTTACTCCATATTAATATACTACATTAACACTTTTTCGTTAGATGAGTTTTGTTATAAGGTCTAATATAATAATATAATTAATATCCCACATATACTTATGTTGAAACGTTAGTAGGTAGTTTTCGAAAATCGCTCCAACGTCGATATTCAATTTAAACTTTCAGTTACTTCTATATAAACTTTCAGTTACTTTTGAATATTTACAGGGTGACTCAGGCTTCCGAAACAGTTCTATATTAGGTTTGTGGTTGGTGACTTTTCTGTCAATTTTTTTTAGAATATGGAGGCAATGGTAAAGCACATTTTAGATATTTTTGTACTCATAGGTGACCGAAACATATTTTCAAACTAAAGTGGTAGATTTGCCATTAAATTTCCATTCCAGAAATACCTAGGGTTGCCACCTGTTCTTTTTTGAAAAGGACAGTCCTTTTTTGGAATAACTTGTCCTTTTGACTTTTTTTGACTTAAAAAGTCATTTTTATTTACGTATTTTCCCTGAGAGAAGAAGAGAACTTAGAACTTCCCGTTTAATGTCTGAGAAAATTACCTACAGCATACAGAAATATTCTTTTCGTCCAAATTTAATTAGAGGTGTTATAAAACTTATAAATAATTTTTTCTTGTTTAGAATAGGCAACATTATTTAGAACTTCCCGTTTAATCTCAAATGATAGTTTAGGTTTTAGTTTTACCTTTTTTGATCTTAAAAAGAACTTTCCAAAATTAGTAATTAGTAACGATTTAGTTAGTTAGCAATCAATAGCTTGCTGTGAAGTACTGTGTAATAGTTGTTTAATCTTGTATTACTAATAACTTTCTATACCTAAAATCAATATTTATTTTAATGAGAAAATTGTGTTTTTTTGAAAATATAAGACAAGATTTGACTTTCGGTCTTCTTCTCGTATTATGATGGCTCTGATACAAGGAAATTACCTTTTAGTCTCTCAATGGGCATTTATCATTAAAAGTATCAAATCTGTGTGCTATGGGATTTCTGTCGCATAATAATGAATATTACGTTTATTTACAAATCCATTACTTAGGTAGCTTAATCAGACAATCAAATTTTAGTTAAACGTACCAATCTTCATGAACTGTATTAAGCATATGTATTGCGGTTTGAATCACCCTGTATGTTGACAAAAATATTTTGAAAATGTGCGTTACAATGGCCCCGATCTTATGTAAAGATTGAAATAAAAATCACCAACCAAAAACGTAATAGGTAAAAAGCTTTTTTGGACGCCTGGGTCACTCTGTATATAGGTATGTATAAAACTAGTAGCCTAAGAATTATTTACAGTTCGTCCCATTCTAAAAAAAGGTAAACATCGTACAAATAACTCTAGGAAGAGGTATTTGTATTGTACGGTGGTAAAAACTTGTCTAAACAAGACCGAAGGGGCAGATATAAGATATAATGAGAAAAATATAATGAGATATAAAAAAGTCTTGTGTTTTGACGGGAGATGCACTAATATCTCACCGACACTTTACGACATCGTCTGCAGATATAGAAGAAGTTTTGCTTGCCGTATCGGTGAGAACCAGCCCCTGGACAGCCCACCTGATGAAGGGTAGGCCCAGAAAGCGGTTGTGGGAGTGGAGCTTGGTTCCCCCCTTTACGACAAGGAAAACAATTTTCTTTTTACTTTTTATTTTTTTTAATTTTTTCTCTACTTTCGATTTTTCGAAATTAGAAAAAATACACAGCTAAAGGCAAGAAAATATTATTTATTAATATACACTAAAGCTGTAAGAATTTTGTTCATTTATATATATATATATATATATATATATATATATATATATATATATATATATATATATATATATATATATATATATATATATATATATATATATATATATATATATATATATATATATATATATATATATATATATTTTTTTTTTTATGAGAAAATCATATTGTTATCACAGTACAGCAAAAATTACTCTACACGACTAAAATTTAGTTTTATTTTGGTAAAATTATCTTGTAAATGATTCTATAAAATGCTAAAAATTAAACAATATTATCTAACAGTTTATTCTTATGTTATTTAGCATCCTAAATATGGTTTACTGAAATCAGAGAAACTACCAAATACCAAACTTCAAGCAGATTCAGATGGATTACAAAAAGGAGAATGGTCTGCTGAAGGTATAAACTTCACACCTGTTGAACCAATGAGGAGGTGGAATATTGAATTCAAAGGAAAAATGAGGTAAACCAATATACATGCTCTTGCAACAGTGCGTCAGGCATCTGTAGCTCTGATAATAAAAAAATTAGGAATAGTTTGTGCAAACCTAAAGTATTACTTACTACTATATATTTTAGGAAAATTTTTTAATTTCTACAGGATTGCTCAAAAAGTGTGAGTGAATCGAGATGATTTTTTTGATGGAATATTAGAGCGTTTTTGTTTTCCTTTCTGATCGCTTTACATAACCCTAAAAAAATATTATTAACATTCTCTTGATAGTTTCAGAGATATTAATAAATAAATAAAAAATATATTTTTAGCTTTTTTTGAAAAAAAAAATATTAAAAATACAAGAAATATCTTCAACTCGAAATTATATTATGTATTTCCTATAATAGTTGGCCTGTACGTACTTTGCTATAAATATCGTAATTATACTTTGCTATAAATATCGTAAAAAATTAAATCATACAAAGTGTTCAAATCTTCACGCCAGATTTTCTAAAATATAAAATAATTTATCTTTGTTTTCTTTCTTTTCACCGTTCAAGGTTACCACCGGTAGTTCAAGGTTTTCACCGTTAACGGCATCACCAACGTTGTTTTCAAAGAAATAAAGATCAATAATGCCGCCAGCCTAAAATCAGCATCAAACAGTGAATTTTTGTAGATGCAGTGGACCTCATCACGCCTGGTGAACCTCGTGTGGGCTCGTGTAGCCCTTTGTACGGCAATTTTGCTTGTTAACAAAGTCAATATCAAAAACCCTTTATAAGTGCACTGAAAAATAAAGCACTTTAGTTGCCTAACTGCTTCTTAAGACTTAGAATTAATGATGTCTAATGTTGATACTTATTACTTGTCTCCATTTTGTGAAATAAAGTAATTGAGAAAGAAATTTAACTGTCTATGGGTGGGCTATTTCAAATTACGGGGTGCGTCTCAAAAGTGGCTCACCCCTATAACTTTTTATTTTTTCAGATATAAAATCGAGATTTGGTATGTTAGTATATGACATAAATTAGGATTGATTGACGTATTCAATTGTTTTTGGTCACTTCCTGTTTCACCGGAAATAACTACAACTTTTGGTTTATAAATGGTACCCTTGGTGTTTTTTACTTTATTCGATAGAGAATGACATTCTGAATAGAATAACATATCATATGTCAACTTTTGACATTCTAGCTTACTAAAAAATCGTATTTTAAAATTCAATCTAGAATGCCATGGCTATGTTAAAAACACTAATAATTCTTAATCAAGGAGCCTTGGAAAAATTTTGATTGACTAACGTTTTTAGTATCTTGTCTTGGCCAATTAAAAAATGCTCAAATCGTATTTTTAATCACATCTCAATTTTTTTAAATGAAACGAGGGTGGCTCATTAGCATATTTGGAAAAAGCATTTTTTACGAATAATTTGATACCAAACACTTGGTATTTCGAGTCAAATTTTTGTTATAATTAGTTAAAAGTTATAATTTCAAATAAACCATATGAGAAAATGTCAAAAGTTGACATATGATATGTCATTCTATTCAGAGTGTTATTTTTTTTCGAATAAAGTAAAAAATACCGAGAGTGCCATTTAAAAATCAAAAGTTGTAGTAATTTCCGGTGAAACAGAAAGTGGCCTAAAACAATTGAATACGTCAATCAATCCTAATTTATGTTATGACATAACATAGCCAATCTCGTTTTTTTTAACTGAAAAAATAAGGAAGTTATAGGGGTGAGCCACTTTTAAGAGTGACCCGGTATGTAACAATAATTGCTGTCAATGGGTCTCAAACCGAATGAGCCCATTCCTTACGAAAACGCGTAACCTTAACTAACAATACCGATTTATCAGTAGAATTTTCATTTAACCAAACACATGTCAATCTTTAATTACACAATGGCAATAATGAAACAAACATGCAAATATTTCCAGGAATTTAAAACATCCTTTTGTCATTTAACACGTACGATGCACATTTCGCGTTTGGATCAGTTTAGAGCAATTGGAATAAATGACAAACATTTGAAGTTTTGCAACGGATACACGCGTCATTATGTACGAGTTTGTGGTTTTCCAAAATCGCTCAGAGCTGCCCCATTGACATAAAAGCTTTTTATTAACAAATCGATTTTTTCGTTGAAACGGGAATGTTTTACTGCAGTAGGTATTTATTTTTCGTTTATTTCAAAGCATCCATAAACAGAGGATTTATTTAGAAAATAAATATTACCACAATTTTTATTTCGGTTTGTATTTATTTTTTTAGATTGCAATATCATTTTCAGCTGTATGGTTTGGAGATTGATTAATCTTGTGTAATTAATATTTTTATAATATTACATTTATAGCGTCAAAGCAGGAACTTTTTTCATATTTTTTTGCTGAGGAATCAATGAGTACTTATTTACAACTTTCGCAAGTTAATGATATTAAAATTGTTTAAAGGTTGTTATTAGACTGTGTGTTATTGGACTTGAAAAAATTAATAAAATTGCGTTTATCTCATCAAGGAGGCTGAAATCGACAAAATATGAAGAGACAACTTTTATGATAATTAATCGGCATTAAACTGCTTACACGATTTCGCTAACAAGAGAAAAAATCAGTGGCGTATATGATTTTTTGTTGAAAAATATTTCAGTGATAACCCATATATATATATGCACGTCTCTGATGAATATGTCGACATTTTTTTAGCTTTAAAATATGTCGCATTTATAGTAACTTTTACTCTCAAAATTTAATTCGAAACGCTAAAAATACTTTAAGAAAATTTTAATAAATCGAAAAAATACTAAGTCTTTAACACCCTGTAGCTGTGAAACAAAGCAGAATCGGACATATATTGATATAAAAAATAAATATTATTTTTACGTGAGGAATCTCCCCACAAGAGATGGCACATGTTTTTTGAAACACCCTGTATAGCATGTATAGTTTTGCACAAAAAGCCATACTTTCATTTGATCTAGAGATTGCTAAGATCAAGACCAAGACTGACCAGTGCAAGACTTCTGCAATATCGAGACAACACCAAGCAAGCAAGACCGTAGCTGTTTTGTGGTCTTGTATTTTTTTCACGTTTATATGGTACAAGTTATTTGTTCATTGTTGTTTTATTTTATTGCAAATACTATATTCCCGAATATTGCATAAAATTTTAAAGAAAAAAAAAGCGGATTCAATATAATATATCAAAAAGTAAAAAATTGCGCCAGATAAATAATATTTTAATCATTTATTTTTTTTAATAGTTTTATTCACATTGAATTACTAAAATTACTATTTATTGAAGGATATTCTATGTAGAAAGTGCTCCTAGTAAAAATCTGTTATTAAATGCAAGACTTGCGAGAGTCTTGCGTTTTAAACGGAATGCTATATAATTTTTAGCTCAGGTTTAATCATTGAATTCGTATGCCAAAAATGTCATAATTTAATTTCCTATATTTTTTGTCAGGCTATAATTGTATTTTCGATATCTATACTAATATATAAAATCCTTAAGTGACTGACATACTGATTAATCACGATCCTGTTCAAACCACTCAACGTAAGAAGCTCAATTTTGGCATACAGGTTGATTCTAGGGTGTAGAGGTTCGATAAGAAGGGATTTTTCGGAATTCCAGTTCCAAGAGGGTGAAACCACCCCTCAAATATTACAATATTTTTTTATTTAAAAAACAGTAAGTTTCGGAAAAAACGCTTAAACACGTATATTTTATTTTGTTTTTTACATATTTTAAGATTTTTAAAAATGTATACAGAGTGTTTCGAAAAATCTGGTAATTGATTAATCACGATCCTGCTTAAAGCCCTTGACGTAAAAAGCTGATTTTTGGAAAACAGATTGACTTTAGAGTGTAGAGGTTCGATAAGAAGGGATTTTTCGAAACTCGAATTCTTAGGGGGTGAAACTATCCCTCAAATATTAAAATATTTTTTATTTAAAAACCGGTGAGTTTTTCGGAAAAACTCTTAAGCACGTATTATTTATTTTGTTGTTTTACATATTTTAAGATTTTTTATAAATTTATACAGGGTGTTTCATAAAATATGACCAATGAGTAATCACGATTCTGCTTAAACTGTTTGACGTTTGAAGCTGATTTTTGGGAAACGGATTGACTGTGGGGTGTAGAGGTTCGATAAAGAGGGGTTTCTCGAATCTCAAATTCCAAGAGGGCGAAAGCGCCCCTCAAATATTACAATATTTGTTATTTAAAAAACGGTTAGTCTTTCGGGAAAACGCTTGAACAAGCATAATTTATTTGGTTTTTTTACATATTTTGAAATTTTTTAAAAAATCATACAGGGTGTTCCAAAAAGTTGGGTAATTTCATAACCACGATTCTGCTTAAACTGCTTGACGTAAAAAGCTTATTTTTGGCAAACGGATTTTTCGAAAGTGAAATTCCAATGAGATGAAACTACCCCTAAAATATTACCAAGTTATATAATAAAATCGCCATATTGTTTTTTCTCATGCTGACATAAATGTGAGAAAATTTTTTCCAGTTTGTATGTTAATGGAAATTCTTGCTTTGCTTTATCATCACCATTAGAAATGATTAATTCGACGCGAACGAAGTCGTTGCTACACGCTAGTTTTCTATATTTGTGGCATATTCAAATTTCACGCAAAATTCTAAAATCGAAAATGTATGATACTATTTATCGGAAAGGGCCGTATAATGCCTTCTTCAAAATTCAGCATAATAAAAATTTCAATGTTGTTTGATTAATACTGGGTAAGTCGAAACTAAATGTTGTATTTTTCTAAGAGTCTATTTTATATCATAAACGAACGGAGTTGTGTTTGATCTTTTTATTTCCTACTTTAGAACAGAGTATAATGAAACCTTTATTTAACCCAATAATTAAATTTTTATTCTAATAATACAATCATGGTTTATATTTCTGACATTACAGGTTAGGTACAAAAGTCATTTTTACTCCGAATAGAACATGCGATTTTTTTCAAACGTCACAAATAATGTTTTAAACAATTT